CACCGGTATGCACCCAGACCCTGAGATAATGAGTGCTGTTGCTGCATTTCCTGTCTCAACGAACGAGCGTGATCTCCGCCGCTTTCTGGGACTGTGCACATATTACAGACGCTTTATCAAAGGCTTTTCTAAAATCGTTGACCTTCTAAACGAACTTACAAAAGACGGCGTACCATTTGTTTGGGGTCAGGATCAGCGTCACGTCTTTGACACGCTACGAAATCATCTCCAAGCCCCACCTGTACTCGGTCACTTTGACGACAACGCTGCCACAGAGCTACACACGGATGCCAGCAACATCAGACTTGGAGCTGTATTGGTTCAATGGCAAAATGGTATAGAGTGCGTGATTGCCTATGCAAGTCGAACACTATCATCTGCAGAGAAAAAGTACTCTGCAACAGAAAAAGAATGCTTAGCCGTTGTTTGGGCTATAACAAAGTTTCGCCCTTATTTATACGATCGACCATTCAGGGTAGTTAGCGACCACCATTCTTTATGCTGGCTCGCCAACCTCAAAGATCCTTCCAGTCGTCTAGCACGGTGGAGCCTTCAGCTGCAAGAATTTGACATTACAATCATTCACAAGTCAGGACGCAAACACACCGATGCTGACTGTCTCTCACGTGCGCCAATTGGAAGTACGAACGTGGACGTTGAAGAGGATGATACATTCTTTTCCTCTGTATCAGCAACCGACTTGGCTCAACAACGCGATGACATGGAGCTAAGCCCGCTGATTGACTACCTCGAAGGCCAAAAAGCAGTCTACCTTGAAACTTCGCACGCTCTCTGGCCTCATTTTGCATCAGGGATGGAGTCCTCTATAAGAAGAATTTCGACCATACCCGGCTACTTACCTACTCATAGCGCCGACCTCGCTTAGTGACAATATTTTACATGTTTGTCACGACGAACCATCATACGGACACCTTGGCTACACGCGCACCTCAGAAAGAATTCGCCGCTCCTACTACTGGCCCCGCCTCGCGAGGACAGTCAAGCAGTACGTTTGCACATGCCGTGACTGCCAACGCCGTAAGACTCTACCCGTCCGACCTGCAGGACTACTACAGCCTACTGCCACACCGAAAACACCATTCCATCGAATTGTCACTGACTTTCTCGGATCGTTTCCCACGTCTTCGCCTGGAAATCAATGGATTGTGGTTGCCACCGATTATCAAACACGTTACAGCTAAACAACAGCCCTGCCCAAAGCTACCACAACCAAAATCGCCCAGTTTTTCGTCACCAGCATCGTCCTTCATCACGGAGTGCCAGCTGTGATAATTACTGATCATGGGCAGCTTTCCCCGCAGAGATGCTTCAAGAAGTGCTGAGACTAATTGGTACAGAACATCGAAAAACCACGGATTATCACCCCTAAACAAACAAACTCACTGAATGGTTCAACAAGACCATTGCAGATGTGCTGTCAATGTATATGGCCGTTGATCACAAGAACTGGGACGATATGCTCCCTTAGGTAACTTTTACTTACAATACAGCAGTCGAGGAGAGTATAGGTTTCCCCCAATTTCGCTTAGTTCATGGTCGAGAAGTCACTACAATGCTCGTCGCAATGCTCCTTCCCAACAACCTGGGCATCTTCAACATGGCACCGCCTTGTTCGCTCAACACACCGAGTAGGCCCGTCTACTTGCCTGACGCCATATTCAGACTCCCCAAACTGCCGACGCACGCCGCTACAACTTTACACACCAAGAGGTTACCTTCCAACCAGGCGATGAAGTTTGAGTGCGGACCCCCATCCGACAGCGTGGTCACTCTGAAAACTTGCTGCGGTGCTACTTCAGCCCGTGCAAAGTTCTACGCCGATTCAGCGACGTTACATACGAAGTTCTCCCTGAGGGACCCTCAAGGCGTTCCCGTCGGTTTCCACAAAGTGATGTGGTGCATGTGTCAAGGCTTAAGCCATATTTCTCGCGTCCTCAATCGTACGTGGACTGACTTATCATACAATGACTACTTATTTCGTTTTGTCACTTTTGTTACATTTTGATGTGTCTTGAGTCCTAACTCCTTTTTTATTGATTACGTCTGTGCACCAGCCCATTTTTGTTTTTACGTTCCGACACAGTTGTTAGATTCCATAGTAACGTCTTTTCTTTCTCATTTTTTTTTCAACGCTCATCACCAGCACCGAGACGATGCTTTTCGAGGAGAGGGAATAACGTCACAGGTAAATGGATATGAGCCATCAACTGTAGCGTGAACTCTCTTGGAAGTGGAGAAAGAAGAGAACTTTACTTCTTGGTCTGGGTGCGGGCAAGACGTCAACTCCTGGCTGTCTGTTATTTCGATCATGAAACTACGTTGATGTAATAGACACCTCTTTAGTCAATTCTTGTTACTTCTGATAATTTGGCATTCTGTTGTCCGGGACATTTTTTTTGGTCAACTGAAATTGGGACTTTGTTATGTACTAATTCCACTCGATATGACTCGCAATGCTACCGAGCATGGATAATGAGCCTGAGAATTGCACATGACTGCCACTTGCCCTTCTTTCCACAACTAAATGCTTCTCTCTAATTTGTTGCAAACAAGACAGCAGCATTTAGTTGTTGAAATAGTAAGCTCCATATCATTGACGTCAGAACTTTCAACATCATTCAGCAAGATAGTAGAGGTACAGTTAAACATAGCTATAATAAAGGTATATTGTCATTGGTGTCTCTGATAATCATCTTCAAAGTTTAATTTTCGATGATGCAATATTGAAAAATTCAGTTACATTGCTATATCCAATTTCCAATGTAAGCATATAGTGCTTGCGCGATTATAAAATAAATCATATTTTGTTTACATGTCCGAAGGTCACAGATATTGTCCCTGCCAGTGGCCAGCTATCTTTTCGTTCTCTTTACTTCCTTCACGTCTACCTCACAATTAATACAATGATCCTACAACAGTGCAATTACTTTACATGGCTTTATTATGCACAGGCTTTCCTTAACACTGTTGAAAAGGTGTGTAAGTAAAGGCTTCATGCATAAAAACCATGATATTGCCACAATAAATAAATAGTGAGGCACGGAGTAGTGGAGAACTTCAGTACAGTTATAACTACCTGGGGTGCTTTAAAGTGCTCCTAAATCTGCGTAATCAGATATTCCTGCATGTCACCTCTGTCGGAATGCAGCTACTGTGGCTGGGCATCAAATTCACATCAAGCTAGCTACATAACAACATGGGACTATACCATGTAATGACGAAAGGGGAACTGATCAAGGGGTAATTTTTCTTATGTAAAACATAAAGGTCCTGTAATGCAATTACTCCAACACACGTACACGACACCAAGCTTTACCTGTATACCAAGGCAAGGGTACTAGAGCAAAGCGAGAAAATGAAAGCAGTGCGGTTCTACAATCAAACCTCGACATAACAAACCCAGATATAGCGAATATCGGTTATAACGAAGTGAATGAAATATAGTCTTGCATAGTAATGTTGAAAATATACCTTCATAACAAATTTTTGGGTATAATGAACTCATTTTCATGTAAGATGCAACTTTGTTATAATGAGGTTTGAGTACTCTATACAGTGACACATCTTGTTAACCCCTTGCTGCCCTGGCAGGCGGTCAGCTGGGCCAAGCAGATCCCTTTGTCAGCACAGCCCCATGGCTTGGCAGCAGCCCAAGAGTGACTCGCTCGTGTATGCAACCTCTGCCATGCAGGGCCAATGCCGTGCAGCGTCCGCAGTGAATAGGCAATAAGAATCATGCACAGTTGACAGAAACTTCAAGCACAGCTAGATTCAAGATGTAAGACGCGTGGAGTCTTCCTCGGCTTGCTTGTAAGGTGTCTTCAACCACATAAGGTAGCAAAGATGCGCGTGAATCGATCTGGAGATGGCAGTGGACATACATATCAGTGGTACAAAGCAGCTTCAATAAAAAAAATTCAAAAATAACAAATTCATGATCCCTTACTTTCGTCGAGAAAATGGGGGCAAGCAAAGCTGTACTGGGGCAAGAATAATGTTGTGCTTTCCTTTCTTTTTCGTGCTTTTTTTATTTATTTATAGGTCGTAGCCATCCTTGAAATGCGGTTCTCAGGCTGAAACAGCATGGCATCTTTCATGTTCCTTCCAGCATTACTCAACCTCGAAAACTGCCCTAACGCAAGGATCATCATGCAAGCATGTCAACGAGCATTAGATATTCAATTTTCTAAAGGTCAGAATTTTTCTGAAGTCTCAAATGACCTGACGGAGACCTCACGCGTAGTCCAGCAATCGGTTTCAGTCTGCCAGCATGAACTATTTCAATGAAGTGTCCATAGAAAGTGCACTGCCTCCCGCCTCCCAACTATTTCGTATCCATGGTGACTGCAAGCGTGGTTCACACTCACTAATTGAGAAGCTAACAAGGTGGCAGACAAACTGCTAGTGGGCTCGTTGTGAACCAGCGCACGCAGCTGTCCTTTGCTTGAGAATTTTCAGAAGACACAACCTTCAAAAATTATTCCATCCTCGGAAGGGGTGACGAGAAGGTACAAGCCTCTCACTACAAAGTTTTAGAGAGCAATTGCCTCCCAGACTATTTGCATCTAATAGCCGCATCTAGCCGCAAAACGCTTTTTTTGTGAATTACTTGTGAACCTTAGCTTCACAAGTAAGTTACTTCATGTTTCACTTGAAAATGCATGCTGGTTGCTACGGTAACAGGCATATTTGGTGGCAACTCCAGCGTTCACAATGCATCGTATTTCTTACTAAGTGAAAAACGTGCCAAGCAGTTGCAAGAGCTAGAGTCATTCATAGAGAAATGCCTTTATCTTTCTTTGCGTCAGGTCATCCCGCCGGTAGACATCCACAGCCGTCACCGATACGATGGGTGCAGGCATTTCCTATTTCACCTGGTCGAGCGCGCCTCACAAGTATCCTCGCCTCAATCATACCATACATAGTGCCTAATCTCCAGCCTCTGGTCTCTTATTACTGGGCAAGAGGGCTCAGCTCACCTGTCTCCTCGCTCCCGCTTCTGCCGTCCCAGTCGTCTGTGCTACCGCCGTCCTCCTCATCTTCGTCGTCCCCCCCCAACTTTGGCATGGAGTAGGCTGCGGGCTTCCTGGGAACTACGAAGGGTAAATTGAGCAACACGTGAGCCTCACAGCGTTACCGAAGCGAAATAAGAATTTTCTTTTTTTCATTACTCTTTCCCGACATCGAAAGCAACTAACATGCTTGTTTCGAGAAGACGCTCTGTAAATGAGAGAATGAGCGAAAAGAAAATGCAGGGGGTGACGCCACCTTGAAGAAGTCCCGCAACACTCTTTGAGCATGATTTGAAAGCGTTGCCGATCAGTAGCAAAGGCTACCAAGAACACGCGAGCCAAACTTTAGAGCGCAGCAGGCGGCCTGGAATTCACAATAATTTCTAAAACATGCTTTCTCTTCTCTCTACAAGTGCCACTACAAGCTCAAAAATCACTAGTCACAGCCTTTGTATCAATCACTGGCTGATTTTAGCATGGTATGCTCGATCATTACTAGCGCAGCCGCAGAGTGCCGCAACTTGTCCACACGTGCATGCGCGATCGCACTGAAAACCCGCACATTCGAAGAAAAAAAAAAGGAAAAGTGCACAAGGTCCGGCGCACATGCGACGTATTTTCTTACCCCGTGCCATCCCTCCTTGCTTAGCTTCCAGCGCTTCTGTCGGGACGACAGAAGAGAGAATGCGATTGCAGCGTGCAAGAAATCTTTGTAACTCTGGTCGTACTAGATGGATTCTAAAAATTTTTGCTGCGGGGAATTCACCAGGCCACAATCTCCCCCAGTGAATCTATTCCATGGCTGCTTGCCGAAATGTTTCAGGATTCCTTTAAGGTTCTGCACCAATCGCCATGACGTTGTAGATTTTTACTCTGTCTGATGAGACCCACGTACTTCCTCATCGGTAAAAACGAAGTACACTGTCTTCAAGGGGAGCCTGAGGCTTTGCTTACCAAGCTTTCAGAAAATTTCGTCTAGCCAGTGTGGAGAAAATACCAAGAAACACTTTGAAATCCCTGATATCACCATAGGAGATTTTGGCAAGAAATTCAGAAGTGAACCTCTTGACACCGATTTTCACATCTATTAATAAACCTATAGGAGTAACATTAATGACCCCAGCATCATCAGAGTATACTTTATCAGCCTAAACACAGTTATTGTTTGCCTTCATTGTCACTTTCAGACCCAAATCTTCGTACGTTAGAATGTCTTGTTCCTGGACAATATTTGATAAAGCGAGTGCACTGCAAAATTTCAGCAAATGCAAATAAGGAATGAAGTACTGGAAACCCTGTTCGTGATAAACTCGAACATCTTTATTTGGCCTGGAAAAATATAGACTGAACATTTCCAACAAAGAGCACAGCTTCAACACATGCACTGTCATTGATTTTAAATTTCTCAGTGGTTAGCAAACTTAGCAATCACCAATGCCAATGTCTAATGACAAAGGAGTCAAGTTTCACGTTCTCTCTCAAAATAGAGACATGCAAGAGAGGCTTTGAACACATACTCAAAGGCAACACAAAATCCAAATTCCTGCTGCCGCAATGCTTTCCTGTCACATCTTTTTTATTTCCACACATTTGTGCGGTTACATTGCACACTGCATTAAAATTTCATGATGCAAATGGATGATGGGCTTTGCAATAGCATGAAAGCCAACAGCTAGATCTTGTTTGAGCTAAGGCGGTGTTGTAGAGTTTTGAGAATACCCTGCATTACAAAGAGTGGAAATAGTCATGGAAAAAATTGTGTGTGAATGTTCACTCAAAACAAAAGTACTGAAACTCAAACAAATTTTCAAATTTGGTGATACCGTGAGGTGCACTACATTAAAAAAACAAAATTTTATGTTAGCTAATTAGGTAGAAGGCAGGAGAGCAGGTTGCCCATACCCGAGATACTGATATGGTATCTAGGGACCACTGGGAAACCTTTTTCAAAATTCTTAATCAAGTTTTATTGAACATCCCGAGTTCACATAAATTAAAAAACTCATTTCCAGTATGCAGTTCTTTATCTAGACATTATGTACATTTTTAAGATATCAGCTATCTCCTATGCTTTTTGAAAGCAAAATCTCTTTCCTAAGTAAGAAAGTCACAAAGAGGCATATCAATAATCTGGAATAGAAGTTACATGCAATAAAACAAGGCTGGATGTTTCCATGCAACCTTTTTACAGAGAAATTGATACTTATTTTGGTCATGGTTAAATTGAACTACTGCCAATTTAGGTTTCTTGTGAGCATTGCTATTTGAGTGCCAGTTGTTTTGGTTTTCTGTTTGTACGTACTATTGTACTCCCTCCCTGTTATGACCCTCAAGCGAGGGTTGACAGTATTATTAAAATAATAATAATATAATAATAAATAAATTTGAACTAATATTCTGTTATGTTCAACGGTGATGAATGAGTTAATGTCAAATTGGGATTTTGCTAAGGCAAGTTCAGCATACGATAACTTTTGTTCAAATTGGCGTAAAACAATGATTCTTACTCCATTGCACACATTTTTGATTTCAAACTGTGATGGTTCGATTTACTTTGTGATACTTCAAGCTTATAAAAAAATCTTGCCCCTCATAAGGCATATAAAAGGTTTCATTTTTTTAAAACTAAATATTGTGCTGGAAATATAATTGCGTATTTTAAATCCACACCTAAATATGCACTAACTCCCCAAATTTCATATAACTTGAACAAAAACTTTTAACTAAAGTTTAAAAACTTTTTTTCTAAAGTTTTTAAAAACTTTAGAAGCAGTGTCCCACTACATTAGCCTATATTAAATCAATCTCGATGTAATTCATACACTCATGGTATCATCAGGAGGAGACAGCACACCTAGTTAGACACAATATTAATGAGAACTAACAGCATTCTCGTTAACAGAGTGTCCAACAAAGAAAAAAAATTGCCCCTAAATTCGCACTTTCCAGCATACCTTGAGCAGCACGAAAACTCGGTGCCTTCTTGGGCATGTCATGGTCGTTGTCCGTATCATCCTCACTTGTATCTGGCGAAAGTAAAAATCCATTTTTCAGCAACTTGGGCAGTACACAGTGTGGTACATAAAAGTAGAAAATTAGCAGTGTACACACTCGTAGTGACAGTCGCGTTAAAATCTTTCACACTTTCACGCGCTATGCCTTCACGCCGTGCACATTGCCGTAGCACTGATTACTGAAATCAGTATTTGATTCCAGCAAGCACCTGAATCGAAAACTTCTTTTCAGCGTAAGCCACTGCCACAAATAATTACACGTTAAGACATAGGAATCTCGTTGAAGCAAAAACATGAACCGACTAAAAAAACGAATTACTCCAGCAGCTCATTCCCAATTTCCTCAAATAAAAATGCCTAATCCAATATTATGAAACATTCCCTAACTAAGCCAACACTCAGAAAAAAAATGAAAAAAATACTTTGCTGGAAAACAATTTGCTTGATTCGAGTGCTACATCATGTTAACATTCATTTGTGATGTACTATCGAAGTATGTCCAATTCTTAAAAAAAAGCGGGTATCTAAAATATTTCTTTATGTTGTACTTTTGGTTTATTTATGTCTATTATGCTATACTAAACTAGTACAATTATAATTGTCATTTATGTATATGCCCAAACATGTAAATAGGTCTGTGTAAGTATGTAAGTAAGTTTTTTTTTTTTTCTTGCAGTTGTCCGCTGTTTTTTGCTGTACTGGTGGTGCAGGAGCCTAGTCAGGTTTGTATGAACGCACCTCTTACCCTAGCACCATGACAATGCATGTCTTGTGTATTATGGTCAGAACTGCAAATAAAACTTCAAACTTCAAACCTGCACTCTGCTCACTCAATTCAAGTCCGACTGGATTTCAATTACGTGATTGACCGTTCCACAACCGCTACTTGCACAACTTTATCGTCTGATGATGGTGTCACACAGTCCCTTTCAACAAGAGTGGGCCTGATCTGGATCAAATTTCTCAATTGCGACTGGCTTCTTAGTGCAAGCTGCTGAAAGGAACCAATGAGAATTTGCCAATGGGATCCCAATCAAGCTTAGCCACTGTCAGCAATGCACTGCATGACACTGGTATTAATCTGAGGAGGTTCTACATGGATACCATAAAGATTGTTTTGGGAGGTCAAACCCCAAAAAATATTATTATTATTATTATTATTATTATTATTATGCATGATATGTTTATATTAAATAGAGAAATGGCTAGCAGTAGAATGTGCTGTAGTGGCTTCAAACCTGGTTCTCTTGCAATAAAGTGCAGATGAGAATAGAAAGAGCGAACTAATCAAACACAACATATTCAAACTGTTTAGTTTACTTTTCTTCTAGACCAAGAAAACAGGAAATATTTGATATAGCTTTATTCTTGTAAAGGTGTTTGTTCAGTTGCAGCATGAAATACTAAAATTTCAAGGCAACGAGGCAAGTTAGTTACGAAATTTAGTTTCTGCAATCCATTGAAAGCAGGCCACCGTATGCAAACACAGCGAAACATGACGAAACAAGATGGATGAGCCTCGCTGCAAGAAATATAACCACTGCGCTACTATCAGTACTTCGATCGAACATTCGCAAGCAGGCGAAACATCGTCTGAATTTATAATTTATCTTAGATATTCAGCTTAGTGTGCAGTGTAATATAACAATGAAATTCAAAACAAGCAGGCCACTCTGCTCTGCTACAGCTTCTGGGATGCAAATAGAAACGGAAAGGCTGTGACGGCACTGAGAGAGTATCTTTGAGCAGCTGAAACCCCGAAAGAAGTTTATTTTTCGTGCAGTATTCAGAGAAAGCCGAAGCCTCGTGAGAACTCGTACAAGTGCTCTCTCCTCTAACGCAGGTGTCACACGGTTTCCAGCTGATTATTCTCAATTGGGTCTATATTTCTTAACAGTGATTAGCTCCCTCCGGAGCTTTCGTAAAGGAGCCAATCCCGATCGAGTTCGATCTGGACCAGGCCCAGTCCCGATCAGAAGTGACCCCGTGACAACGGTATAAAGCGCTAAAACAATAGAAACAATGTTTTTTTCCTTGCTGGACAATAATTGCGAGGCGACAAATACACTTCACGGGTTGGTTTTTTTTTTTTTTTGCTTCTTTTAAAAACGCGTGACCACATCTTTTTTTTTTTTTTCAAATTAGGAATCAGCTGCTCTCCAACGTTTCTGATATTCGATTGTTTAAAGATAGCGCCGACGACACAAGCGATCTGTATTATCGAGAAAATTCTTGCTTGACAATTGCCCGGCGTAACAATACCTAAGCGTTGTTTGCTTGTTCAAGTAGCTTAGATAACATGGCAGTAGAGTTGTCAGCGATTCATCGTACGAACGGTGCCCTCGATTATTTAAAAATCACGCAGTGAAAATATTTACGCGACCATTTATTGTCGCACACGAAGAAAAAAAATATCAACATGCGTTTGACGCCACCAGATGAGCTGGCGGCACATCGCGTTTCCGTTATTCGCAATATTAAACAATCATGTCATCCGTTGCACTGACAACAGCTTGATTGACGCTCTATCGATCTGTTTATGAAAGACCGGTGCTAAAAGTTACAAGCTACGCAAATGACCGAAAATACAGCGACAACACAGCTTTCGTGCGGGCGGCATTGCCGTGCGGAGTACCGGACCTGCCACCCCGAACTAGCGAAATAAAGCATCGCGAATGCCGTCAATGCTTAGGAATTGTTTCATTGGCAAGCACAGATGAAGCGTAAGTACGGCAAAGCAAGCAGATACTATAGGTCTTATCTATGTCGGCACCTTGGGCTAGGCTCTTGCGTTCGCTTATCGATGCGAGGACACATCGTATCCTGACACGCAAACAGCGTCTCCGTTTTGGCCAAGCTCTTACCTGACAACATCTTCGGCTTGAACATACTCATCGCGAGCGACGGGGCTGGTAGGTGTTCTGTGGCCCGGTCCAGAACTCGCCGGAGATGCTGCAAGTGTGCTTATAAGGCTAAAATTCTCAAAGAAACCGGCAATCGCAGATTATAGCACAAGAGCAGTCGATGCTAAAATAAGGGCGCTGCCATGTTTTCTTACAGCACGTCCGAGGCGCCACTAGTGGTATCAAATTGAAAAGACCAATATTTTTATCTTATCATCACTTTTTTTTAATTCAAGCACAACGCGTACTTATGTGTTTTAATAAATATTTTTAGATATATTTTATGTAGTTGTGATGCGCAAAAAACTAAAAATGACACAGTGGCGGAAAATACAAACCAGTGCTTGGAAACATCAAATTTCGTAGAAGCGTAGTTCGATCCGCTTTTACGCATGCTTACAGAATCATCGTTTACGATTATTAACGGAGAGTTTCATGCGTGGACTGACCTTGTATCCACGAACCAATTGTTTGCGTAGCAACGAAATTCCCCTCTTCTTCATATTCAGATGTAGAGTGCCCCGATGCGTGCGGTAGTTTACGGATTTGCCTAGTATTCGTACTTTACGTTCCTTTTGGCTTCGCGTAGCTTGAAGCTGCTTTGGCACGAATCAACAGTTGGCAAATTTTCAGCAGTTGCGCTTCACCACTTTATTCTTTTAAGCTTACCGTATGAAATCGTGCCACGAAGTTCAAAGGGGTTCGTTTTTTCCTTCGAAAAAAAAAGGCAATTAACTAAGCCAGAAGTGTGATTAGCCACCCGCAAGTACGCAGACTAGGCAAATCCGTGTGCTACCCATCATTCCCATGATCGCTGAATGATCGCAGTGCCAGAGTTCCCTCTAGTTAATTTTAGGAAACGCTATGCTTTCTGGTATCTATCTATCTATCTATCTATCTATCTATCTATCTATCTATCTATCTATCTATCTATCTATCTATCTATCTATCTATCTATCTATCTATCTATCTATCTATCTATCTATCTATCTATCTATCTATCTATCTATCTATCTATCTATCTATCTATCTATCTATCTATCCGTCTGTCTGTCTTTCTCTTTGTCAAACCTCGGTCTCTGGTGAACCATCGAGACTCCGAACTCGGACGCATCGGACGTAGCTAACAGTGTTCAAATGTAACCGTCAAACTTCATTCAGCGTGTATGCAAATCATGCGTGGTTGTGTGCCACTCGCATGTACTTACATCAACATGTGCCCCATGCACGAATTTTGTGACCCAATGACACATTGAGGGGCGGGGACTGATTACTGAGATGCATCGACTAGAAATGCAAGCGACACAGACGTTTACTGTACAGCAGAGAATTGAAGAGATGAGAATAACGGATGTCGCCAAAGAGTCGGCGAACAGGGGTGTAGCCAGAGATTTTTTTTTTTTAGGAAGAGGGAGAGGGGAAGCTTCAACCATACCCTATGTGTGCTCATGCATGCGTTTAAATGATTGCGTGTATATATACGCAAGCAAAATTTAAAAATTCCGGTGCGGGTGGGTGAACCTCCCCTTTCCCTTTTGGCTACGTCCCTGACGAAGAAAACGGGTTGCTGTGTTGAACCATAGGTTTCAATGACATTCCTGTTTAAGAAAAGGAAATCGAAATTTAAGGGTTCGTTTTTCTTTGTTGCACACAATATTAATAAAAAGTAACAAAGAATGATGACAAGGAAAGTATAGGGGATGTTATTACTAGTAACTGCAATGTAAATATGACGGGTAAAAAAAATTGACGCAAATATAACTTGCCAGTGGCAGGTACCAAACCAGCCACTGGCAAACCAAAACCAAAACGTTGAAGTTTCACGCGCTGACGCAGGATGTTCGCTCCTAAACAGTTTATTAGTGGGTAGGTCTTCGCCGTCTACGTTATTTGTGTTCCATGTCCGCACGCCTGAATCGCCTCATTCTCTGGTTTTAAGGAAAGTCCCATAGACAACAGCGCAGCTTCAATGCGCCTCACGCATGACGCTTTCCGAGCTGTGACGTAATATGGTGCGTCGGTATATCGCTACGCCGATCGCATTGAGATGAACATTCGTTTTTCCTTGTCCATAAACAATTTCAATCAGCAAAATTAAGTGCATGCCCCATTAACCAGTTCCGTAATTTAAAGAATGAACGACATGTTAAAAAATACTATTTCACATAAACTCCAAGACGCCAAATCAACTTACGAAAATGCTGCAAAAAGAAAGGAAATAAAAGACGACAGTGCTATGTTAATGCACAAGAATAATGGTCGGCGTATACTTACCAGAGGGAGTAGATGTTCGGTTAATGAAGCAGTTCGCCATGCTCAACTTACCATCAGTTCTGTGAGAGAAACCTTTACAGAGCGCATAAGCGTACTCATAACGGAAAATAGATTCTGATATCGCATCGCATATTGGAATGATTAACAAGAGCGGATGATGAACAGCCCAAATATCCCAAATAGCATGCATCGATTCATAATATTGAAACAACTTTTACCTACCAACGTTGTCTCAACCATCACATACGCTATTTCAAGCAAGCATCATGCGGCCGCATTCAGAAGCAACACTGAGGCAATGTTTTAGCGATAGTAACTTTGAATAAGCCATTCCTCGAACCCCGCGGAAATCTGTAGAGTTCAGGAATTTTAATTCCGCCTCACGGGACTCTTGTTCTGAATAAGAGGAAATCTGGAAACAATCTTTTCCCCATATCTTGACTCATTGCGGTCAATGCTTGACAACGAGTCTTTAAAGTAAGGTTGCAACTGCGCTATTGTTAAGTCAACAAACTGAACTAGTCGGCATGCGTGTACAAGTTGATAGGTGGCTCGTGTAGCATCGGTTATGCCAAAAGGTAGGGTGGTATGTTCATAATGTAATCGAAAACTTAATAGCACACAATCTAATATTATATATATATATATATATATATATATATATATATATATATATATATATATATATATATATATATATATATATATATATATATATATATATATATATATATAGATATTCTATCAAAATATACACACATGATCGCAGAGGTGATACGCCTTCGCATAGCAAGACGCAATTTATGTTTATGTTCATGAGATTTTGTTTGTTATTTGTAATTGTGTACGAAAGTTTTCTATATTGAATGTAAAATTGTGCACGTTCTTTCGCAGTTTTCTTTATATGAAATGGTGTTTTGTAAATATTGAGAGTATTCGCTCTTCACGTTTTTGTTTCTGTGGGCTCTGAGGGTGCGCGTGTATACAAGGTCTCGTCTTGCAGAGCAGATTCTTTTTTTTTTGCTTTTGCATTTAAAATTTATTAGCGTGAAATTAATAACTGGTGCAACGAACGGCGAAAGAATTAATGCCTATAGTAACGTAAAACAATAAAGTATCGCATAAACCTTGGTTCCGCAGTTTAGCAGGTTAACTGTGTGTATTTATCAAAATCTTGGTGCACAATATAAGCATCCGTGGTGTACTGTTGTCTTCGTGTTCATGCTTTCATTTAAAACAAATCGACGCAGTACCACACAGATTCATCAAACTTTGTTTTTATTCACGACATGCTCTTGCGTGCTATTCTGTGCGCTATGGGTTATCGATAAAGTACACAGAACACAAGCGCTGAAACACATCAAGGCATGGCGATGAAGGCACGCTATATACACCTTGGTAGCTGGCCAACAGCTCCCTAGCTGTCTTCCCCAGTTTTTCATTATAGCAATTTGACAGCGGACAGTCACACAATACTTAGCGTACAGGTAAGCCTAATTAGCACGTGTTTGATTAAGAAAGTCCTTACTTAGAGTTAAATGGAACGCCTTCTACTTTCGTTAGGAAAAAGCAAGAGAACATAAACAAAAAAAAAACGTCGTCGCGTGTCTGCGTTCATAGCTTGAAGTGCAAATGAATATAAAATATATAACCGGAAATATTTATCCCTGCCTTTGCTTCTCACTTTTATTTTACGTGTTGACGTTACTCGTGCTGTACTAAAAACATTTGTTAGTGATGTTTTGTATATAGCCACTGAAGGGATGTAATAGGCAAAAAAAAAAAAAAACGGCACATTTGGATAAAACCGCAGAAATGACAATTTTGAGGCACGCACAATTTTTACTACATGACCCTGTAATACCGGAATGCTGTAATTATAATAAACACTGATTCGAGTTTATTTTGCTACTGGGTTGTTCAATGAGCAGGAAATAAAAGCTGCAATTAGTAGCTTGTAGAGATCCAGTTCACATACTACACAGGGCAGCTACATAGCGGATAATCAATACACTACAGCACTTTGGGATAGAGTAAATGAAGTTTTATGTGAAAACAGCAAACAAAATTACAAACAACATTCCGTAAGAACATAATTTTCCCAATTTTCTCTTTTTTTATTCATTACCGCTGGCTTTAAGGAGCCACGTCGGAATGAGTGGTAGTATACATTGGTACTGCAAACAAAAATGGCGTTACGTTACAATTGTTCAAGTTAAGAAGCAGTTGAGTGACCACACTTCGTTGCTATTTAAGAAACAAGTGCAAGCTCCGCCCACATAAACGTGGCGCGCCTGCCCTGCACCCACAAAAGGCAGTAATGGCTGCAGCTCTAACCGTAAGCATTATTTCTCAGCTAATAAACAGAACGAGCATTAAAAGATAAAGGTTCATTGGTGCTAGCTGAAGCATTATGTTTTGTCGAGCAGCGATGTCACACTCCCTTACGAAATTTACTAGCGACGCTCAAGTTTCAGACCTCAAACCAGCGACTCGCACTGTGTGTCTGAATGAGACAGTCCTCTATCTTAGTAAGTGCTATTGGATAAGTCAGTTTATTCAAGTTCTTTGTAAGAAGGACAAGTGCCGACTGGGTGCAGAGCTATTCAGACATACATATAGTTGCGGAACTGCGTTGCCAAAGCCCGGACACGCAATTGGGTCAATATTGCGGGAGCTAGCAGACTGTCGCGTCATCTGGGAATGATAATGCAATAAAACATAATGCGTTTTAAAGCTTGCGTTTTAATCAAAAAGTGGCGTGACAATCTTCACATTTCCGACATCTGGGCCAATAGTGTATCCAGATTTTAGTACATGGAGCTTATGGGAAGTTTCGCAAATCGTATGATTGAGTAACTCTGGCTAGAGAA